GCCTCGAGAAAAAGCATCCAAAGTGGCAGTCAACGTGAACTCAGCAACGCATGTCACCTTCTGCAGCCGCGTGCATTGCAACTCCCCTCAGCCGCCCACTGTTTCTTCCTTCCTTGTAGACCCAAACCGCATGGTACACTTGGATTTGCTCGGGTCCTCCACAGGCTCGCGTAACGGTGCCCACCACGCCCGTGCAGCTCGTGACAGCATCACTTCTCCGTCCACTTCTGCGGCACCGAATAGCGTGAAATAAGAATCCAAAACACCACATCTGCGAGGCAAACATACATGCAGCGCTCCAACGAGTGCCGCTGTGAGAAATCACACGGTGGCACGCACACTCTCACTCGCCCTCCCATCAGCGATTGGCCGTCAACAACAACAGCAACGGCATTGAGAAGCAGCCTCGGGACAATCCTGAGTGCCATTCCCACCTCGGCGACAGACAGACTCCGGGAACCCTGCACTTCAGTGCCGTTCCGGGAGGGACTCCTGCCACCGCCAACCGTGTTCCCCTGTCGCGTTGGCACACGGAGCCCGCTTCAGAGAAACAACAACACGCTCCATTCAAAACGCGGCTATGAGTGTGCTTGGCAATAGGCGCAGGGCACACCCTCTCAGTTTCCAGTGCCGACTTGCTGCAGCACGCACAGTTGTGCCTCTGTTGTCCTCCCTCGTGCTTTTTCAATTCCATGGCCCACGCTGCGGCAACACGTGCCCCCAGACCTCGTGGTGCCACAACTGTGTCCCGGCACGACGCAGCTGGTCAGGACGCTTGTAGATGCCGTCTGCATTGCGCCAACAACAACCCCGTGAGGGAAACATTGCTGGCTCCTGGATTCTCCCGGCAATACGGGATACCGCCACAACCCCGCAGCCAACACACAACGCACACCAAGCGAGCAATCACCCAAAGAGACACGCGCGGAAGCGGATCCTCATCCACCCATGACACGGCGCCTCAGTACATGCGGTCACACGGAGCACACCATTTCTCGAATAGACCTTATCCTTCGTCCATCCCGCTAAGATACTTCTGTTATTGATAGGAATCAGAGCACAGTAGAAGAAAATGGACAATGCAGCAATAACGCCGTGACACCGCCAGCCACAATGATTCCCTCATACCGGGGTACTTCTCCGATTATGCCTCGTATACACACACACACACAATTAACGTACTATATAGAAATTACCCAACGTTTTCCACCAGAAAACAAACAACCCCACTCCCTCCCTAATTTCTTCTGCCACTGTTATGTTCGATAGCGTTGGTCATTTTTGAGACCTTTTTGTAACAATGTCACCTGGTGCTGGTGCACCCGCACCGCATGCACACAAAATTATCCAAAAATATATAACTCCCACAATATTTCCTTACCACAAATCAAAACTGCCTCCTTCCCTCCCCAATTTGTTTTCCTATTTCGGTGGTTCTTCCTCACTTCGGAGTGCTTCGTCTCTTCTAAAGTCCCTGGATGATATTAACACTTGGTACTAGCGCACCTCTTCCTCCCAGAACGCCGCAATCTCACGGCTTTCATCGCGGCTCACATTATTGGAATTGACAACATCACATCCCTGCCAGTCATTCATCGGCGTGCTGTCTGCCTGCTGCACATAAATCATCTCCCACGACAATTCTTGGGATAATTCCTCCCAACCACTAAAATATGCCGCCAGGCGCTCAGTGAACTGCCTCACAGTGCTGGTTGTCGTGTGATGCTCACCCGTCGTAGTCATCCGCAGCCCAACCAGTGTCCTCCGCGGTGAATTCAAAAAGAAAAAAAGCAGTCCACCAGCGGAAAGCTTGCAACCGCCGGCATGCACAGCAGCCGATGCTTTATACTAGTATTTGTGCGGTATTCCATTGCAACCAATCCACATATAACTCGGCGGGGCGCCCTTCAGAATTTGCCTTCAGCACCGCGTACTGTCCTCCACGGCGTGCTGGTGGCATCAGCTCCTTGAGGTCCCCTAATAATGCACCGAAAAACTCCCAAAAAATTAATGCGCGCAAGCCAAACCCTCCCGTACATTCAGACAAAAGAGTACTCTCACCCCAATACCAGCAACAGAAGAGAAAATTACCTTTCTCACTCATCACGTTTCCCGAAATAGTGCGGTATTCGACGCTCGAGGCAAAAAGATACCGGTGCGTTGAGAAATACCTCAGCACAGACTTCTGCTCTTGCTCGGACAACCCTCACAAGTTTGTGAGACGGATCCTCGGAATACCATTTTTTCTCTCCTCCCAGGGTAAAGTACTTTCCTTGATCCCCAATATTGATCCATCTCAAGGCCCTCTCAACATCCTTCGTGCGTCTTTCATATTCATCCGCATCGAGGATGTGGCGTGGAATCGGCCCCGCTATTTCCATGTGTTTTTCAACCATCTCCCAGTATCCCGCTTGCTCATCTGGTTCCAGACCTCGCGTTATCCAAGCGCACATCGCCTTCACATCCACCTCGTCGGGGCAATTCATGATGATTCGACTGGCTTTTGTTTGCTTCTCCATCAATCATAGTTGTCCAGGTTTGGCGATGACACCACAATCATGCCCCATCCGGTGGAGGGCGCAAAATGTCTCAGTGGTGGCGTTCCTTTCTTTGCCACATCGTAAATAATGTACCCCTTCATCCCACGCTCCCTTAAATTTCTCAACTCCGAGATGCACATGTCCTCATCACTGTATCTTGTCACGATTTTGGTGGTCTTCTCAAACACGTACATCTTGCTTCCAAAACAGTGGACAACAACTTGGAGCTCCTCCACATCGTAGTGCAGCAGCTGGTAAAGGAGGTACGAGCCGGCAGCCATCGACTTCCCGATCCCGGGCGTCCCAATCAACAGACGCGGCAAAGGTGAAGAATTGAGAGTCAAATCAAAATTGCTGAACCACTCGGTTAGATCGCGCTCGACGATCTGCCACACTCGATCCACCTCGCAGTTAATAAAGAAGTCATTACCAGCCCCACGCAGCAAATTCAGCGTGTACGGCCATCCCTTGTCCGAGGTGAGCACCATCAGCCTGGGAGGTACTTCACCGGATTCCCGCACACCGTCATCCTTTTCGAAGGTGTCGCCAACTTTCTTGTAATTCCATGAGTGTATCGGTTTCCCCTCCTTCGCCTCCATTCCCGTCCCCTCGCCGCCAGAAACCTCCACGACATGGTACCACCTCGCACTGTACACAGACTCGTAGTATCCCTCCATTTTCATCGCTGCAATCGTCGTCATTCGGTTCCTCGCTTCCTGAAGGGCTGCATCCAATGAGTGTTTAGTGAGTTTATGAACACTTGCCGTTACCTCCGCAGCAGCCACCAACCAATTCAGTAGAGTGTCCACACCATTCTCGTAAAGCTTGTGTACATCCTCTTCCATATCCACTTCATTCCTTACAGCTCTCTCCATCATCACATAACGACCGGATGCCTGCATTTCGCCCAATACTCCCGCATCGCAAATATACTTCTCGGGATCCTTTAAAACCCCTCCTGCAAGAATTTCCGATTGGCGTCCACAAAGCCCCTGCCATCAAATCTCCTATTAAGAAGCTCATTCAGCTTTCTGTCCATGACACAAACTTTTCGTTTAAAAAGTACATCTTCAGTCTTAGTTACAACGGTGAATTTTCTTCGCTGCCCCGAGTATCCGTCTGGCATTTCAAGAGCTGAATCAAGTTTTTGCATTGCCCGGAAATTGATCGTGTCTTTCCTCTCATAGTCCCTCCATTGATGAAGAAAGAACACACCCTCGTGAAGAAGTTTGTACACCTGGTAGTGTATCAAATTAAGAATTCCCTCAAGAAGCTGCCGGCCTTTTACGTAAGCATCGAGTCTCCGAATAAACATCTCCCCCGTCGCATTGTAGTCTTTCATCAACGGTCGTCCTGGAGCCAATACAATTCCAAAAAAAATATTAAGCTTCAAGCTGGTGCTGAGAGTATCTCCGTCTAGCATTAGATCTTCCACCCAGGCTGTCAAGAGTCCACGGCGGTCACTCTTTACTCCCCGCCACATGTCGAGCTGCAGCGTCGGAGCCAACACAGATGCCGCTGGCTCCAAAGGACACTCGCGGCTGTTTCGTCCCGCAGTCCCAATGGCGTTGGGCGTGGCACTCGCACGGCTCGGTGGTTGGTGCGCCACGCAGCCGCACTGCAACGCCTGTCGGTGAAACACTCAAGGCCCACAGCCCCCGCAGCAACGCAACGTGCAATCGGCCACAACACCGCCAAACTATTCTCCTTTTTTATTCTATTTTGTTCACTTTGTGTGTCTGTTTGCCCCATCACCGACACCAAAAATAACTGCACAGCTTCACAGAGGAAGAAATCTTCTGGGCCGCCGGCCGGATCCTGTAATTGCCCCCCCAAAAAAGGAAAAAGCGGTAAATAAAGAGGTAGTGAGTTCTCCGTAATGTTTGCCCCAATGTGTCTATGTATACACATTCCGTCAATCACTGCCCTTGACTCCTGCAGATGGTTACAAATAAAAACACTTATCCCCTGCCAAGCGGCAGGCCTTTGGGGCTCTTCCAGCCACAAGGTGGGAATCACAAATTGGGTGGGAAAGCAAAAATAAAAAATAATAAATAATCATAATCCTTTCGTCGTACAGCTGTCGGCTCCCTGATTCCCTCAGTCGCGGTCTCCCAAAAGACAGTGCGATAAAAGAGAAAAAAGTTGTGAAGAGATATCTTCGCTTGCGCGAGATATGAATTTATTTGGGCAGCCAGCCGCCCTCTCAGGCATTCTTTTCACAAAATCCCATGAAAATAAAAAAAATTATGCGGCACCTGTAGTGCGCAACAGCCTCCAGTGACGATGCGCCTCTGGTGGAAAAAATAAAATAAAATGAAAAGAGGGTGTGGCGAGTGTGGCACTGCCGATCACAGCGGTTCTCTGAAACGAAAGGCATTCACTGTCTAGACCTCGTAGGCACACACATATAAAAATCGTTAAAATACTCCCAATATATTTACCAAAACGAAATGCACTTTAAAAAGAATAAATAGTACCAATTTCCTTGCCCTTTTTATCCCCGTTAGGTAGACCATCATGAGAAAATTCGATTGCCTCAGGAAATTTACCTTCTAAAATAAACTGGTATTGGTGTACCTTTCCGTTCCAGAACGCCACAATTTCTTTTTCAGCGTCGCTCAAATTTTCGGTAATGACGGGACCACATCTCTGCCAGTTTTCCATCGGCGTGCTGTCTGCGTGTTGTATATAAATAATATCCCACGACAAACCTTTAGCAAATTCCTCCCAACCATTAAAAAACCTCGATAGATGCTCAGTGAACTGATTCACAGTGCTGGGTATGGTGTCATGCGCACTCGCTGTAGTCATCTGCAGTCCAACCAGCGTCCTCCGCGGTGACTCCATGAAGAAAAAGCCGTCCACCAGCGGAAAGGTTGGGAACGTCGGTATGTACAGCACCCGATACTTTAATTCTTGCTGGTGACCAACTGACTTCAGTTTACTT